GTGGTTGCGTGCTGCCGAAGAGTCCCAAAGAAGGAGGACGAAATGGCTGGCCAATATTCCGTGATGCTTTCCAGTGGTTAGTTCCCTAATTGATGGTCAACTCGTGATAAATAATCCTGTAACCAATCAAATCGCTGTAAAAGTAAACCCAAAAGCATGCATAAGTGACATGCAGCTTTCTGCTGATGAAATCAACTGACTTATTTACACCATCGTATGCCTAAATAACTGATATGACCAAACTTTTTGTTGATTATAAAAAAATTATAATTTTTCAATTTCTATTCAGTGAACTATCTTCTAGTAATCAGAACAAACATTCAGAAAAACGTAATATTCGATGTCGTGCCAGTTGGTTTCCTGTTAGGTATATATATATATCCTTATTATCACATTCTAATACCCCAATATATTTGGATTATTGGTTTTTTAACAGGGTGTATGTGTGTGTGTGTTTGTCTTATGCAGAATAACCCATTCACATGCGCACATATATCCATTTATGTATGTATGTATCTGTGAGCATATATCAACTAACCCTATTTTCTTTTCGTTGAACGATTTTATTTCCTTTTTATGGTGTTTAGTGATGAATAAACTTTGGGGAATTTATGTTTGTGAATCATAGTTTAACGGGAGAAGACACTAGACTTGGTAACGGAATGTTTATGTACACCTTGTCTAAGAATCGTCATTTGCGCACAGATCTTCCGTGCTGTGTTGCTTCTGCCCTTCCTTCGTATTGTATTTCTTTATCTTCTTTTCGTGTCTCCCATGTTTTGCCACGATACTGATTCATTTCCTCTCTTTGATGTCAAATCTATCTCTCAACTATTTTGATATTTGTGTACCGATGAACACCTCTTAAAGTATACTACTGACAAACTTTGTCAGTAGTTCATGTGTCTTTAAATCGACCATTTCTTCATTTAATGATTTTTGTAAATAAAGACAACAGATTATTGTATTTTTTGAGCATTTGTCATGGAAAATTAGTAGCTCCCTTAAGTTTGTTTTACAACGTCAAAGTTATACTTTATTTTATTAAAATATAAACTTTTGGTACATTACTTTATGTGGGCTATTTCCCGGGTTGTCTTTAGCGGCCACCCCGTCCTAAGACTTTTACATGAAGTCTAATCCACAAGGCTCTAGAGCTGCGTTCCCGAAATAGGTCTACACACCATTCGATACTGTCGGATTCTGGAGTTCATGTAGTTTTGGATCCAGGCTTTCCTGCTCCCTAAAGGTAGACCTGCATGTCCATCAGTCCAATTTTAATCGCTAGACATTTTAATTCACCCTTGTGAGGAACACTGCAGCTGCGTGCAGTCAGTGAATAGAACCTACCTCCCTGGAGAAGGCTATGAATGTATTGCCACATAAGAGCGTTTTAGAGAGGAATAGGTCGTAGTTTCATACCACTCATATCAACCAGTAATGCTCGCTGGCCAACCAGATCGAAGTAATCTAAACACCGGATCATTTACCGTTTATGGCATCAAGCAGATCACATATTATGATGATTGGAATAACTTGGTGTCCAGAAGAAACTATCGTGAAATTTTACCACTCGAACTGTGTAAATTGCTTAGCAACTTGTAAATTGCGAATTTTATTTACGGTATGACCAGTTCGACTCAGTAACTAGCCAGAAATCGAGTGGTCTGAATTGATCTGGCTCTCTGAGTGAATTGAGTCACACCGGGCACACTGATGATGAGCTCGACCAAAAACGAGCGTAACGGCCATCCGGTGTTCACATCATTTCGATATGGTTATCAAACATTACCGTTTGTATATGAGTGATATACAACTACTCATCTTAGTCAATCAGTAGTATGTAGTTTTATTCATTTTTTCACCACCTGGATAAAAGGTATCCTGTATAACAGTTTCATGTCTTTTTAATCATTATTTTAATGAATATATATATATATATATATATATATATATATATATATATATATATATATATTATGCGTAAACATCGTCCTTTTCATGTGATTGGTGCGCTCAAGGTCACTTGTGCGTTGCTACATTTTAATGCTTAAAGTTTAACTTCACCTTCTTATAAATATGACTTTTCATCTGCATTCACCTAACTGATATTTGTAATACACATCCCAGGAAAATATGTTCTCCTTTTAATGTGTATCTCTCAGGTGTATTTTACACTGAATTGATGAGTTACACTTTGCTTATTCAACCTTGCAGCAAAAGAGGAGACTGCGTGGACGGTATGTTTAGTATTATAGTGGGTTATTGGGGATAGAGAACAGTCGCGTGTTCTCATTGAAGAGTATATTGTTCTACTTTAGTAAAAAACCTCGGGGTATTTTGATTGTACACTAGTAACTAGTGTTATGCGTCTAGTCCTTTCTTTGATACAGACTGAATTCTATCAGTCAGGTTTGCAATGTGGCCACCATTCTAGGTAGCTTGCCATCACGGTGTACATTGATTTGATGATATTAAATAGTTGGAGGCAATCGGCCACAGGAAGCCCTTCCTGGTCTAGGTTTCGTGCTAGTTGGCACTCACCAGTCAGTCAGCAAGGTGTATGTGCAACTGTCTTGAAGGAACTCATGTCCCTTCTGAGATTCGAACCCACACTAATACGCCTGGCTGACTGGTGAATGCCAACTAGCACGAAACCCAGGTGGCCGATTGCCTCCAGCCATCTAATATCTCAGGGTATGTTCTACTGTCCTTAAAACCAGTGTTAAACTACCTGATCAGTATGGGTATGCCTTTCTATGAATTACTGTGGAATGTAGCTCGCTGTCTTTAATACTTCCTGGGTTTAGAGTTCCAGTCTTCTTACTCCAGCCTGAAATATTGTGCATTATCATCTGCCCTCACCCAATAGGTGAATTATGACTCTTGAGTATATATATATGTATACGTTGGTTTCCTACACATAGTAATATATTGTTATTATTGTTCCCTTGGTTTCCGAGTACGACATAGGGCTTCGACAGAAAATCTCCACTTGGTCCTATTTTCTGAGGTGCTTTTTAGCTGCCTCTACGATTTCCCATAGTCTCTCATTTCCTCCAACTCACACAGTCTCATCCATGTCACTCTCGAAGTAACGCCCCACTCATCTTTTCCTATTTGAATTCCACTCGATGATTTGCCTGTCGCTCGATGTCATTTGATGGTTTCCTCACTGTGCACCCATTCGATTACCATTTTTTTTGCATATTTGTTGAGCAATGGGTTCTTGATTGGTTTGTTCGCATCTGGTCTTCAGTATGGAGCCAGCGAAGGGGACAACTACTGCTAAAGGTCTGAAGTAGACTGTTGGAAATGTTTTCCATGGTCTGTCTGTTCTGTCTGTTTTCGACATAGTTTTCCAGGAAGCCTTCACCAAGTTTCTGACCCATATATGTAAGCATTGATTGGTGTTGAAAATCAGAATTTTTTCTTTATGGTGTAGAGTACAGAAGATTTCTAAAATGATTGCAGAGTGATGAAGCTGTGCCTGGCTGGCTTTTTTTGATTCTGGTTATGACATCATCATCATCATCATCATTGTCGTCCTCCTGTCGTTGAAACAGTTCAGCCTAAATAAGTGAAGCAAGTGACTTGTTTCAATTCTATTCCGTTGATAGTGGTTAGGTATTTGTTGTTGTTGTTGTTGTTGTGTTTGTTTTTGAGTGGTTGTTTTCATCACCCTCCGTTTTCTCTGTGTTCACTTGAAGTTGTGTCTTCTCTGTTCGTTTCTTCAGCCAGTTTGACGGTTTTCACCTGTAAGTTTTTGATTTTGTGTTACATAAGACATAAATACTTACTTACAATAATCTGCAGAAGGCCAATCACAATGCTGAATAGCTTAGTGTTAACATCTCTGACTATAGAACTAGGTGACCCAGGTTCGAATCCTAGAGGGGGCTTGAGTTTCTTCAAGATTCTAGATACACCTTACCGAAAACCTAAGTTCAGACAAAGCCTCTTGTACATTACCTCTAACCATTTACCTTATCCTTTAATTAGACATTTTCATGTTTGAATAATTCAACTAACAATAAGTGTCACCAAACATAGCTTACAAGTGTTGTTTTGCAGGGATTTGATTAGTTACAGATTTCTTCATGCAATGACATCGGTTAGATGACCATTCCCTGGGACTCTTCATCAGTATGCACCCATCGCCAGGTTTCGAACCCCAGGACCATCTGTTCAAAAGGCAATCTTGTAGACTATGAAGCCACTGGGACCCGATCCAATGGTTAGCCCATGAATTCCAACTTCTAACAATTCACAGTATAGCGCGACGACTAGCTAATGTCATCCGTGGTGAGTATTTGTCCTCACACCCGGCCTGCTATACCCTATTGGTCACAACTTCCCATTAGAACTCAGGTAACCATCTATGTGAATAGGGCCAGTAGTCACTGATGAGCATCTTCTCATTGATATTCAAGTGTTGGTTTGCAGGGATTCGATTGGTTTAAGGATACAAGCTTAGCCTTCTAAATAACGTACAAATTCAATGCTTTCCAAGCAAAATCTTTCAAAATACGGGTTGCGCTAACGCTGACGATGAATATAGCTTCCGTTTCGTGTTATTTTTTTGGTGTATTGCCCTCTTTAATTAATCTCTTACACCTTTCCAAGTTTAATGAACAACAACGACACGGTAATGGCATAAATTAATTAATTAATTTAAACACTGTTTTTCATTTGGTTGAGTACATTTCACATGAATGGATTGTTTTTCTGTTGTTGTTGTTTTTTTTCATGGTTTGGGGGGCAAATGTATCTATCAAATGATAAAGTGTTAACCATCATAAGGAAAACAATTACTTAACATTTATTATTTTTTTTTACTATTTTTTGTTTTGTTTTTGACTTTATTTTTCAACTAACGTAATTCTCTCCGTTTTTCTGTCGCTCTCAGTCTTCATTCTGAAAGGTATTCTGTTGTTCATTGTTGTCTCTATTTGTTTTGTTTTTTTTGTTTGTTTGTCTGTTTTTTTGTTATGGTTTAGCTCACCGACTCAGCATACTTCTCCTTCAATAATTGACGATGAATCAATTAGTTTACGGACAACGCGTAAACAACCTTGTTTCATTGATGATGACATGAGTGTTAATCATCCTCCACGCTGCAGTCTTCATCATCATCATCATCAATGTCAACAACAACAGTCATCACATCAACTGAATAGTCCTAGAACTCTACGTGCATCTGTAAGTTTCTTTTTTTTCTTGTTTTGAGTTTTGACTTTCTATTCACATTCCATAAGGAGACAATAAGGAAATGTTAATTTTAAACAGTTGGTTTGTAAGGATTAGATTTGTTTTCACGAGTTTGACCACGGATTGATATCAGTTAGAGAAACATTGAAATCCAGCCACAAGGGAGTACTGGACAGCTGTTGTTTCATCCTAGTTTGGGAATCACCGACAGAACTCGCCCACCGCCAGGGTTCGAACCCAATACCTTACGGATACCAGGCAAGCTAGCGCGTATACCATTCAGCCACTGAGACCCACACGATTCAATGACCAGTCCATGAATTCTAACTTCTACCAATTCTTGATTTAGCACGACTAACACTAATCAGTGTCATTGGTGGGACATCCATTTTCACACTTGACTGGATGGACCTCACTGGTCACGACTTCTCACTAGAACTCCAGGAAACTTCCGTCCTGTAGCAAGTCACTAGCGAGCATCAGATTAATTTTCAATAGTTCATTTAAGTAGCATGAGAATTTTCATTGAGTCATATGAAAATGAGAAGACGTTCAGCGAAGAGACTCTTTTCGGCGAATTCATTCACATAGCTGTACAATCGCATTTATATATATAACTATTTTCGTGTGTGTGTGTGTGTGTACATGAGGTTTGTCAAGTTTAGATAAGTGATCAGGTAATACAAGAATGATCTAATATAGAAACAAGGTTAATTAGACAACAACTAAAGTAAGATTGAGTTAATAAGTTAGATGATGTACGAGTCAGACTTCTTCAAACTGCAGAAGCAATGGCAATTCACTTGCTAAGTCCTGAACTCTGCATACAGAAGAAGTTCGTTCATCACTACACTTGCAATAGACTTAATCTATCTCATTACCCGACAGGTAAATTCTACCTAATTTTTTTTTCTGAGTCTTCATTAGTATTATTTTGTCTTCTCAATTGCAATATTTTACATCTTAAACTTTCATGTTCTCTACCTCCACCTGATTTAATTTCTACATCTCACTACCACTGTTACTGACTTGACCAACGCTCAATTTCTAGTCATTTATGTTACATCATCCAATTTATCTGCTCAATTTTAGTCCTAATTGAAATGGCATTATTCTCTGCCCCACCTCTACTTAGTCTCTACCTGTAATTACCTCTTTTGCTATCCTGACCTAAGTTGAAACATTTTAACCCATTGTATTACGTTATCCAAATTACTAACTCAATCTTACTTTAGCTGCTGTCTAACTAACCTTGTTTCTATATTAGATCATTCTTTTATTACCTGATCAATTATCTAAACTTGACAAACCTCATGTACCCACACACACAAAATAGTTATATATAAATGCGATTGTACAGTTATGTGAATGAATTCACCGAAAAGAGTCTCTTCCCTAAACGTCTTCTTTTTTTTAATAGTTGATTTGTAAGGATTTGATTTGTTTCTTGAGTTTGGCTGAATGGTACACGATCTAGCTTGCCTTGTAACTGGAAGGTCCTGGATTCAAACCCGTCGGTGGGTGGGTGCTGCCGATGATTCCCAAACTTAGATGAAACAGTTGTCCAGTACTCCCTATGGCTGGTTTTCAATGGTTCTCTAACTGATATCATCAATCCGTGGGTCAACTCGTTAAAGGAAATGTTAACTTTTAAAGACCCGCCCACCCCTATTAGAAATTTTAAAAGACTAATGTCTCAACAGAGAATAACCTTTCCGATAACTTCTTTATCAGATTCTACATAGAATAATTAACGAATTACTGACATTGAGTTAATAGAGTAGAGTTAACAGAAGATTGAATACCTCACTAACCAGAGCCTATCCTGTAGCTGAGTTGGTTCCTGTTTATCGGATAGTATGCTCTTTTAGCGTTGCAATCAAAAGTCGACAGATATCCTTCACATTGTTAACTCTAACTTTGTGTGTATACAAGTTTACGTTTATAATAGTGCTATTACTCCAGAAATTTCATCAATACGCATCATGAGGTAGACATTACGAAGTCCTTTAAAATTATCATTAGATAAAATAGTTCAATTCTCTTCAAGTTTGCCGAAGCAATCGCTATCAAACACCTGAATTCCGATTTATGTATTCAGAAAGAATCAGTTTTCAGTCCTTATTCCCACTCGTAACTGCTTATCTTTGTTCCCTTTTTCATTTGATTACGAAATCTTTGTCATCGACACCTCCCCAGTTGTGGATACAGTGTAATTTTATTTGTCTCTTATTTTTATGAATTGAGCTGAACTCACCCTACTGTAGCTCAATTTATTAGTTACTCATCATTTCAATCACTTTTCGTCTTTATCACGTAACTCCTTTACCGTTGTACGGAGACATTTATTCTTGTTTAAACTTGAACTATCTGGGTAAAAACTATGTAAGTGTAGTTTTTGAGCACTGTTTAATAAGTTTGGAGTCTCCTGTCACTAATTGACATTACGTGACACTTGCAAGTACATTAAAATTGTTCTGTGCATAAACTCAATTAATAATTTCTTTAAGCTTTACTAAGATGATGAGAAACCAACAAAATAACAATGATGGTACCATCTTATTCTTTACAAACTGTTGATTTGCGATATTCAGCACCACCGCCAGCCAGTGAATCTCCCTCTAATTGATACCAATCTGTGATCAAACTTGAGACTAACTAAATTCCTACAAAGTAACACTTGCAAAATGGGGGTTACTCAACAACCACTTGCAGTTCCACGTGATTATCAGAGAGCCACCCCCCTATTGTGTGTGAGGGCTAGTGTTACTACCTGTTTGACCAAAACTGGATAGATAGATGGAGAGGGTTTCGAACCTACTAACCTACTGATTGATGCGCCACTGGATTCAGCCACTGAGACGGGATATATATGCATAATTCCCGTAACCTCAAGTGAGTTGGTTCACTACATAGCCGATTACATTTATCATGTCAGTGATAGTGATACTAACAGGCTGCCTCAGTCTTTGATAAGTGGAATCTGAACATGTGACTGGTTGAAAGTCGCCTGCTTAATGCATATATCCTTAACATTACTGCATCTAACAAATCACACTGAGGTGTAAAGGGGTTTAAGTCGTATGTACTTCTCTACGTGTCTCTGTATTGTGTGTTTTTTTTGTCCATTCATAATTTAGGTGGATTTCACTTCGAAGGTATCCTTGATGTCACTGTCATCTTCATCTTATCAAGGTTAGTTCCTTATGATTGGTTTCTGTTAGGCTAATAACAGATTATATGCATATGATATATAGAACGTGTATTTACCTTGAGTTATGATATTTATTTTTAAAGGAATAATTGATCTTCGACATGGAAATTCCAATGATTTAAAGTTGTGTTCACTCTCAAAGGAGTAAATGTTAGTAGAGTTCTATCGTTCGTCGGTGGTTTAGTGAGTGGTAGAATGTTTGCCAACCACGCCTCACATGGTCCGGAGTTCGAGTCCCGACTGACGCACCTGTAAACTTTGCTTAGCTAGTAGTGTAAACCCTGTAAAGAGGGAAGGTTGGGCATTGGGTCGGGTGGGTCCCAGTGGCTTAATGGTCTACGTACAAGCTAGCCCGCATTGTAACCAGAAGGTCGTGGGTTCGAACCCATTTAGGGTTTGTGCGTACTGTGAAGAGTCCCAAACTAGGACGAAACGATTTTCCAATACCCCCAGTCAGGTTTTCTAATGGTTTTCCAACTGATATCAGTTCATGATGGAATCCTCCAACCAAAATTTAAATTCTTCAATACTTTTTATTTGTGACTACTCCTAATGTTAGTTTGTTTGGTAGTATTGTAACGACAAAAGTCAAGGGACAGGCAACAGAACGTTTATTGAGAAAATCAAGAAGTATTTATAGATTTTTGTGTGCATTATTATTAGCGTTATTGTTGACGGCGAAGCACTCTCTTCTGATTGGTTGTTTTCTTGTTCAAGGTTATTCTGTTATCTCTTTGTGTGGCTGTTTCTCAAAAAATCAAGTCATATATCTGTGAGTCATATTTCCACACTTTAACTCCGCTATGATTGGTTGGTTGGTGATTTTCTCAAGGTTAAGCTTTGTTATTGGTTTTTTCTCATGATCCTGATTCGGGACGTGAACATTGACATAAATTTCTTGTCTACAGTTTTGGCTTGTTCGCAGCCGGCTCTCACCACAGTATCTATGCCTAGTTAATTCTTTAAATGTATGATCTTATTTCATATGTAATACTTGGTCGTGGTAATTCTAGTAAGGTCGGTGGATTAATGGATGGAACTGCAATGCACCATACGAAGATGGCCTGATAGTTATCTGAATGTAACGTTAGAAGACAAAAGACTTGGTATCGGAATAATGATTTGGAATCTGGTATCGCTATATAGAGAAATTATGGGCAAAGTTCTACAGTAGCGTCCCAAGGGATGCGAACGCACGAGTGACCTTGAGTCGACCAATCAGAAAAAGAAGGATTTTTACACAAAAAGTTACGCATATTTACATAAAAAAAGCATGAAAAAACATTAAACAGGGTATTTTTCTCTAATATGAGATAAAAATATGTCCCAATTATAATGGAGAGTGCCAGTTTTTAAATTAAACCAATTCCTATGCATGTATTCATCTAGGTGACTAAAAACAACTTGATTTTATATCTCTTATTCTATTTTTGAGTCTTCCCCAGAAACCTTCTATTGAATATTCGTATGAGTACGGTTCTGGGATCGACGAAGTCATCCAAATGGTTAACTCGATGGTGTATATATCCCAAATCCGATAATCGATTATATGCTGCCCATTCATCCGTGTGAATGATAGTGCCTGGCAAGACGAGTCTCTAAATAATAGGGCGAAATGTGTCAGCACTCCTATCTGGAATAAGTTCGATAAATCCTTTCCGAATCTGGGTGTCATAAATTCCCAATACCCAAACGTTATTAGCACGTCCTCGATTGTACTTATTCTTTATAAGAACCGTTTCATCGATATGAACGACTACACCGACTCCGCCCAACATTTGTGTAATACTATTCATGTTCCATGACGCTAAGTCTCGACAAAACTGTATTATCTGTCCGAGTAGCAGTTGACCTCACACTGAACTTCAAACCCAGTAATGACAAAGAAACAGTATATTCGTCAAGGAAAGTCTCGATTTTTCAAAGAAAGTTCCTAGAAGACAATTAACTGAGAGTTTCACTAACCAGTGCGAACACTTATTCTTTTCCTACACTCTGTACATATAAATATGCATCCGTCAATAACCTGGGAATATGGTTGCAGGTTCATTGAAACACCACAGGTACATATACGAGAATGTCCAGTTAATCCATTATCCAGACAGTATTGAAATACGTGATCTGGGTGAAATTTGCATCTGAGCAGATGAACAGCGTTCATTTTCGCACTAGAATCATGGTAAGTTTCATCAACCAACGACTAGCAAGCGTTCATGGTCATTTGAGCGTTCGCACTCCTGGGACACTATTCTTGAACTTCGCCAAATTATATACACATTATCTGAAAATCGTCATTTGTACAGATCTTCTGTGTTGTGCTATTTCTGCTCTTCGCATTGTGTGTCTTTGTCGTCTTTTCGTGTCTTGCATGTTTTGCCGCAATACTGGTTGGTTTATTTCCCCTCCGCTATTTGATATTTCTATGTCAATGAACATCAGTCTGTATACTACTGATGAATTTTATCAGTATTACGCTTGTATAATATCTCGTTTGTTTTGTTTTGACGCTACTTAATGGTAAGAAAAATAAGCTTCACGTTTTATATACAAAGATTTGGGAGCTCTGTTACACTAAGACATACAAGCTCTCTCTCTTTTATCCCTACCTACCGTCGACGTGGAAAGTAAATGAAGACCTTACAACTTTTGTGAAGTGCAGACGTAATAGAACCACAATGTAAGCAAATCTGGGTGTTGTTCGGATGATGACATGGAGGCGATCATGTGAGGAAGACATCAGACACTATGGGCGATCGTAGAGTCAGTTTGAAAGGACCGCAGAAAGTAGGATAAGGTGGAGATGTACTGCTGTGAAGCCCCATGTTCCACTGGGAACTCAGTGTACTCAATAATGTACTACAACGTATGACCCCTCTCTTTAATCCCCGTATACGGTTTTGAGATAAAGTTGTTGACGTGGAAAAGATACAAAGACCGTACAACTTCTGAACGTAATAGAACAATAGTGTGGACAGTTTTCAAATCACCTTCCAAGTGTTGAACGAAACGGATGAGTTTATCTTTGATGATAGGACTATCCACCAACTAGAATGGCAAGAAAATTTCGTTACACTTATCAACCCTCACTAATCACGAACAGACAATCTCAATCGAATTAGGATTGCTTTGAAAGTAATTTGAAAGCTACTTTCAATACTATGGCGTGCAGTGCCCAAATCTTTATCAACCTCATTCAACAGCTATATGACAACACGACGTGTCAGATGATCCACAACGGAAAAAGCTTTTGAAGTCAATAGAGAAGTAAGACAAGACTGTCTGTCTACTATTACCAATGATATTCCTGATTGTGGTGGACTAGATTATGCATCAGACTTTGGGGAGTGAGGAAGAAGAATACGCTGGACCAGGTATAAGAAGACTCTAGGAGATCTGCATTCCATGGATGATATATGTCTAGTGTCACAGAAACTTGGCGAAAACTAACATACTGACTGAAGAGGCTGGCAAGCAGCGAAGACAGGGTTGCAGGTGAACATAGAGAAGATGGAGGTGATGAAGAAACCAACCAACCAACCAGCCAACAGTAACAACAAGCAGCACCAATTACCATCTACGGGAGAGATTCGACAGAGATTACTTCCTTCACTTATCTAGGAAGCATTGTTTCAACCACAAGGAGGGGGGAGACGGATCAAGAGTCAAAGCCGGCCAACCAGCCAGAATCGGAAAGGCAAGATACGCCTTCATCAACCTGAAGCCAGTTTGGAAATCTTCTGCTTCACTCAGCCAGCCTAAAGAAGAAGATTCGGATTTTCACGCCAATGCCAAGTCAGTCAGTGTTTCTAGGTGGCTCAGAAACTTGGCGAACACGTCACGAAAAAGCATTTCCAACAAGTTACAAACTTTTATCAGCAGTTACCTTCGCTGGTTGTATATTGAGGATCAAATAGCCGGCTGGTCAGGAAGAATTAGCCACAAGAAGCCATGGGAACATACTAACTAAGAAACTATAGTTCAATAAATATGTAGGCGAAAATGGAGATGAAACGGGCACAGACTGAGGAGACTGTCAAATGATATAGTGCTCCAGGTGCTTGACTGGAACCCGAATGTGAAATGACGAGTGGGTCGCCCGAGTGTGACATGGAGATTGTTTCAGTTGGAGGAGGAGGAGGAGATGAGATACCATAGGGGGGATCGTGGCGCCAGCTGTAGAGGACCTCAAAAAATAGGACAAAGTGGGGATGTGTTGTTGTGAATCCTTATGTTCCATTCGGATACCAAGGGGAAAATAATATTAATGATTCCGTGAATTCCATAATAATTTTTGCTTTATTCCAAAAACAGTACTAATAATACAGCAAGGAATTTTTAGCATTCAGTACAATATTGCATCTAATTTACTCAAAACGACAAAAAATAAAAATTACATAATAATAATAATAATAACAAAACATTTTTATAGCAGCTACGTAGCAATTACAGTTTGCGATAGGAAAATATGTATAAAGTATAAAATTGTAGTAATAATAGTAATAACAACTAAAATAAAATAGCTAAGTTATAATTAAACGATAGAAAGCGTGACACCATAAGATTACAGAAAGATGAACGATGAAAGGGTCGATTCACTTTGCTAAATTGCATAGTAACTTATATGTTTCACGTCTAACAGTGTCTCCATCACATAAAATACGGGCTAAATAGGGTATTGTAGAATTTCTGTACTTAGTGGTGTGAGCATATAACTTTTTATATTGACTTCTTGTCCTACCTGATGAGATGCAATGGGATAGTTGTGAATAAAGGGGATGGAGGGGGTCTGACAGTACGGCCTTTGACCATTTTGTACAGGATTTTATATGTCTCTCGACTATAATATTGGCAAGCTCACACAGTGACATACCACAAGCCCTACTCACAGCATTTAATACTCTTCGTAATATGATATAGTCTTTTTTGAGAAGCCCAGGAAAGATTAATGGAAAGCAATAGAGTACGATAGGTAAAATACAGGAGCTTACAAACTGCAGAAGTAAAGGTTGGTTGATACCTGATTGTCTTAACTTTTTAATGTTTATGTAAGCTGTGTTAGAAATTTTTCACTGACTGTTTAGTATCTTCACTAGGCTAAGAATTAACTGCTTAAAAATCTCGTTTATAGTGTTTAGACATCTGTTTTATGAATGTAGATTTATATACTCTTTATAGAAGCCAAGATGTGAGTGTTTTTACCAAGCTTTATTCATAGCTATCCTCTTTCTTATCTCATACCTTTTTCTCTTCTGTTCACCTTAATATCAATTATGATTTCTGTTTGCCTCTTTCTTCGTTAGTTTAGGAAAGAATTTGGTAACTTGAACTGGTACACTTTGTGCCATATCCCACCACAGTTGACTTAACATTTCATGTTAAGTGGTTGGAGGCATTCAGAGGGAACCCTTGGACCTCTGAATGATAATACCTAGGTGCTTCAGATTTGAGTCTCGGAAAAGGCATCACTTTATTCGTAGGAATCTCTTGTAGAATGTAACAAAATGACATAGGTAACTCATCACTATAAACTTAATTTCACGGAACATATATTTTCTATGCCAGAGAGGTTAAGAGCTACACGTGTTGTTGTTTTTTAACTCAGTCATCAGTTCCCAGTGGAACAACTGGGCTTCAGGTGAGAGACTTGAAGTTTCAGTTGAAGTGGTGTTTATTTTTATGGGATGAGGCTGCTAGCCTCAGGCCCAGCATTCCCTCTTTACAAGTCTTATTTCTGGCTTTGCCAGATAAAGGGTTGCGTCGGGTAAGGAGAAAGGAGAATGATGCTCAGTAAGGCTTCGTGTGCCTTTGGAAATGTGTGTGGGTGGCTTTTACTTCCCAGCTGCCCACATCGTGGAAGTTGGTTGATTCTTCGGGTACCTGAAACAGAAATAAGGTTAGTGTTGAGTGACCGCAGAGCCCAGGGGACAACTTCTTGAAGCCGGTCGGTCATACACGACCTGTATGAACTAGTTTCTTGTATTTGGTTCCGTATTAGCAAACTTACCGCCGGTTACGGACCACCGTCGGGATGTACAATTGTTGGGGTCGACGTTTTCTAACCTCTGTCCAGAGTGGAGAGATAGCATAGCTGGCCGGCATGCTGGTCATCTGAGGGAAACACCCTACTACTGTTACATCCCTGTCCCCTCTGTTCGCCCACAGACCCCCAACATAGTGTAAAAAAATTCTTACACTATTCCGGTAACTACTTTTAGTCTAATCGCTATCTTAACAACCTTCCTGGCATGGTAGGACCTGCAGAAACAAGAGTTCCAGCCAGTGTAGCTTGTTGGGTCACCACGATGTGCAATCCCGACCACCACATCAAGGTAACAGCTATCGGTCGAGAGTGCGTCGGCCCAGGATCGAACCCAGATCACCTGCGTGATGGTTGGCGAGCATTCTACCGCTGTGCCACCGACGCACAGTCATCATTCAGTGGTGATTCTTAATCTCATGAATTCATTGGCTGCTTTTAATCTGGTCGCCCTGTTCCTATTCCCTACATTGTTCACTATTTCATTCATTGTTTCATATCGTTACAAAGGGCAAACACGCTTAAGTTTCATTTCTTCCCCTTATGAGAATTTTGTTTTATTCAAAATATTTGAGTATATTGTTTTGCATTTCGTTTTCGTTTCTCTTATCAGACCCTGAAAATACTTTTCTTACTGCAAGAAGATATCCATCCCAGTCTATCACCAGTAGTAGACAGACGGACGATCGATTGACGAATAATAATAGTAATAATAACGAAACTCTACGCAGAAGCTCAACACGAATGTCTAATCCAACTTTGGTAAATCAAAAAGTTTTTAATACTAAGAGTAATAACAGTAATGATAAAAATCATAATTATAAGAATAAGAATAATAGTTGTGATTGCAGCACTCCATTTATGACTACTCGTCATAATAATCCCATGACTGTGACCACCAACAGCGTTGATGACAACAACAACAACAATAGCAATGATAGCAAACAGTTACTCACCAGTAGTCTAGGTTCTGAGCGGATCGATAAAATTCCCATAAGTTTGTCATCGCCTATTGGACTACGACAAAGGAATCAATGTTCGCCAACAACAACACAACAACAACAACAGATTTTCATTGTCCTATTCTAAGCGCATCATTACCTTCATTCACTACAACTACACGAAAATCGTGTAAATCCCTACTTGAAAAAAGACGACGATCAATGTTAGTCGGTCGTACTGCATTGAATGTGATATCTGAAGATCAAGATATGCTTATCGGGAATCAATTAAAACTGAAAAGTGAAAATTATCATCGACTTTGTCGACAACCAATCATAATTCAACAATCAATGGACTGTAACATTCTACATACTACTGATAATGATAATTATGGTAGTAATAACAATAATAACGGCGACGATAATGATGATGAGGCGGAGGAGAATGTTGATGACGTCGACGGGGATTATATTGAGAATGACAATAATATAAATAATGCGTATAGTAGTTGTGGAAGAAATAAGTTTATACGTGCATCATTCCCTCAGCCGAATACAAACATCACTCAGCGCACATCCCCGATGAGATGCTTGTTACAGAATAGTACATGCATTGATACATCAATCGCATCAACATATCATCATCATCAACACAAGATATATGTGAGTCTATCCCACTGAGTGAATAATACTCAGTGTTCGTGGGTGTGTGTGAGTGTGTGTCGATGCAGAGATAACCAACTGTGTGTAACAATTAACCCATTCATGGGAATAATATAAATCTCATCAAGTAACAAATAACAGGAAGTGGTCATTGTGAATTATGCTCATTTCTATTTAAATTATATCTCCCCTCATCATGCATTTATCATATTTTCTAGTTCCTCTGTTTTTGTTTCTGTTTATTTTATTTTATTTATTTTTGAAACTAATTAATGCGTGTAATATTCATGCGAATGTAACAAATAACAGGGAAAAATTCCCCATGTTATATCAGTAATTGATTTCACATTCATCCTCGAACACACTGATCAATAAGCATGTATGTCAACAGTCTAATGAGGAAATGAAGACATCGAGTGGCGTGTGTTTGTTTGTGTGTGTGTGAGGGAGGGAGGTATTTTTTAAACTCTGACCTCCGAAATTCATCAACTGGTCTTCGAAATACTCTCTCTTTCTTTATGAGGTTGGATAATAACATTCCAACAGTCTAAGTATCACTAGTTGAGGAGAGACAATCGAAAAGAAGCCTTACCTGGACCTCTAGGTTTCATGCTTGTTAGCACTTACCAGTCACAATCAGCAAGGAATATTATTTACAATCTTGAAGAAACTCATATCTAGGTCACTGAGTACTGTTCCAGTTAGACACATTACCACTGACTGAGGTATTTGGGGGCTAGCGATTGACCTCCTATACGTGACTGTATTGGATACTTTGTTTGGACAATAATGGGTGAGTACTAACTAGTGTCGCATGCTTGTGTAGTCCTTTGTTTGTGCCTAGCTGGTGGACTGGTGGACTTTCTTCCAATGATTGCCTTCAGTCATCTATAATAAGAATTCAGAGTTCACAGCGATGATGGTGGGCAAAGCTAAACTTTAAGCACCACTAGCTACCAATCAGCAGGCGACCAATCACATGAAAGAGGGATTTTTGATGATGGAAAATGTATATTTATGAAAAAAGAGCATAAAACCATTACATAAGATATCTTTCTCTAACATGTGGCAGAAACATATCCCAGTTTAGCATAGGAGTGTCAATAGAAAAGTCACACCACATTCTGTACATATATTCATCCAGATGACTATAAATGAGATCCTTTTGCGATCCATATATAGCCCTAATCCTATTTTTTAATCTTCCCCAAAATCTTTCTATAGAATTTGTGTGTGTCCCCGTAATGGGATCCACAAAATCACAATGACATCTTCTCCGCCTTTCAACGAAGTAATTCTCTCCACTTTTCATGATGCAATGTCTCTGCAGTGCTGGTACCACGGAACTGTTGACACGAGGCTATTTTCGGTTTCAGCAGCTGTGCCTCTCACAGGCTGTTTTAAAACCCAGAAGTTACAAATATACAAAATCTGGGTTAGGAAGAAATACGACCTAGCAAAAAATGTTCCTGCGAAATATTAAAATCACCAGGTCGCCTTCCCTAATATTAACTCATCTCAAACAAGTTGCACATCGATGGACATATCCATCAATCGACCTTCTAAAGCTTTTTAAACTCATGACACCACCACATGAACAAATCTACTACTTCCTAAGCAACCCAAATCCAGGCAATGCTGTAAAACCTTATCCTCATCGGCAGGCATTTGAAACGAATCAAGCGGAATACAACCTTGAACTCACGTGGATGCACCTCATTGAACCGCTTGAGGTCACTCGCTGATTGGTAGTTTCAGTGGTGCTTAAAGTATAACTTGTCTCTACCTAGTAAGCGGTATAGTAGTCACATTGCAAACTTGGCTGGTAGAAGAATACAGTCTGCACCAAAAACAAAGGACTAAATGCATAACATTAGAGTCATTTACTACCTAGTATCCAATCAGTGTCTAGCATAAGCATATTTTTTTCTTGAATTTAGTTTGCATAGAATGCAACTACATTACAGTGGAAGCTTTAGTCCAGTGTTGAAGATTTGTGACATTAGCTAGATGAATGTTGGTTTTTGAGTTGTATGAAAGATGTAGAAAGAAAAACCAATTGTAACGACAGAAGAGAATGGTCAGGCAACAGATCGTTTTTGAGAAAATCAACGCATATTTATAGATTTTTATGTACATTATTATCAGCGTTATTGTTAGCAGACAAGCAACGTCTTCTGATTGGTTGTTTACCTGCTGAAGGTTATTCTGTCATCTCTTTGTTGCCGTTTCTTATCTTAGACAGTCCGTTGATATATCTGCTAATCATATCCACCCACGCTAAGTCTTCTATGATTGGTTGTTGAGTTAGTCTTTGTTCTTGTCTTTTTTTCTCATGACCAAGATTTGGGACGTAAACATTGAGGTAAATTTCTGTCTACCAATTTTGGTTAGCAGACAGCTCTCACCACATAAGCATACCTTCTTTCCCAGAATTAGTCCAGTACATAACGCTTTGGCGTTTAAAACGGAAGGCACTTGGTTCGAGTCCCACTGGGAGTGCAGTTGCATCTATCCAGCTGAGACGAGTCAGTGCTAATTAGGATGAAGTGTGCATCCTGGATTCCACACTGTTAGTCATCATCCACCAAATTAAGATCAAAGCATTTCAGTTCTCATAAACTCAAAATCTGAATTGACAATTTTAGATAATGAGAGAGAAGCTAACTGGTCACACTAACAAGCATTTGGGTGGCATAACAATTGTTTCCTTCATCTCGCCTGGCCCTCCCCACTAATTATCCCATTATATTTATCATTTTGGATAAATTATATGTTTTCCAGAAATGAACTCACTGGTTTTTTTTTGGTTTCTGATGTCTTTTTGTTTCAGTCGCATACAAAAGAAGAATCGAATTCAATTAAATCCGCTATCGAATCATTGCATGCTCTACGTGTAGCCTTAGATTTGGCTGTTGAACGCTTAGCTAAATTAACCTGTCATAACCATAAAAGTAAAGAATACTCTGGTCTACGAGATATTGTCAGTGAAGAACTTGAATGGAGATTTTCACGCCTACGTGCTATGCTTGGTTTATCACCGGTTTGTGTTGAAGCACCAGTTGCTCGTGTTCTCCTTGCTGATATTGTAGAACGCCTGATACCAGAGTTGAAGTCAGTTGGTGCAGGTTTAGATATTCAAAGCTCAATAATAGACAGTGATAATACTACTACGGATAGTGGAGCATTACAGTATATTAATCATCAATCAGAATTATATAAATCGATAAATTTATCTGATACTTCTGTATATGATTTAACTGAAATTAGTAATTCAACTATTAATCCTAATAAAAGTAAAGATGCCGCCACTCTTGATGATGATGATGATGATGATGGCGGTGACGAGGAAGATGATGACGGCGGCGGCGGTGTTGATGAAGATATAGAAGGCGATCATGTAGAGAAAGCCAATCACTCAAGCGATAATATTGGTAAAGCTAACACTGAGATGTTGTCAGCATCATCACCAGTCTCTTCATTAAACACTTCACGATTGTGTTGTAAAGTTGAAATGAACAGTCGCTGTACAGAAGAAGAAGAAGAAGAACTAAAGTGTAGTACTCAAGAGAAGAAAACACTAGAGACAACATGAGAGAACACTATACAATTTTGTTTCAGTCTTTCTGTGCGCTGTCTTCTTTTTTTTATTTTGGTCACTGTTCTTCATTTTTGTCTTATTTCCCTTCCTGGCTTTTGTATTTAATCGTTTTACATGATCAATTATCATGTGGAAATAATTATTTTAAATTGATAATGTTAAGATGAAGTGACCCAACATTGTTTTACCCCATGCCCAACCTTCTCCTACTTTACGAGTTTTATAACTATCTTACAGAGAGAGGTAAAAAGGAGTACGCCTGTGGCTGGGGGGGTCGAACCCTGGACCACATGGAGTGTGTGGTTGGCAAGCATTCTACCGCTTTGCTATCGACACATACTCAATGTTGTATACACTAACTTAATTTTGTGCATTTATAGCGCCTTTCTCAAACTCCTCTCTCTCTGGTGTGCGTGTGTGTGTGAAGAGGTATGGTTTATTTTATGCTAGTTGAATCTTCCTTTCTCTTGTGCGTGTGTGTGTATGTATGTATGTATCCCCTTTTGGCCTCTATTGTGTGTGTAACTCTCCAACTGAATGTGAATGCTGTCCACGACAATGAGAAGGTGAAAAATCGTTGGTTTACTCTTACTGTATGAATGACTTCCAATACAATGTGTCCGTGTATGTTTAATAATATTTATTTATTTATTTTACCTGTGACTGACTGAATAATATTTCATTCTTTTTTCTTTCGGACTTTTGTGGTTGTCAATTTATCAATATAATATAATATAATATATAATGAGAGTTTATCAAATTGATTTATTTTCCCCGTTGATATTATTATACATATTTATTATACTTATATTTTTCAAAGCTTTTGCATAATTTCTGCTTTAAAAATGTTCTGTAATAATTTCATACATGAACTCTTTCGTAACTGCTGGGTTGTTTTTTTTCTTTCTTTCTCTGGACTATTTTCCGTTTCTAAACAGTATTGTTCTTCGATGACGATTTGGTATGTTTTTTGGGTGTCCGCGTGTGTGTGTGTGTGGTGGGCGTGTTGATATTTGAATACTGTTCTTGTTCGTATTTCTATGGAAGGAATATTTTTTTGTTCTACCTATCTTCTACTTATTTTATGGTTTTTCTGTGGATTTTTGACTTATGCTTCTACCTGTTGCTGATATATGCACACATATAATGAATGTATCAATCTCTCATGCGGTGACCACAGTTCACTATCTTAATTTTGATAACGAAAACAAATGCGTTTGTAGAAAAAGAAAACTGGTATTTTATGTAGATATTTATTATTATTATTATTATTAAATATAGGAAATATAATTTCCTGAGTACTATAAAACTATACTTCTTAAAAGACACAAACATATTCTAGTTATTGGTTTGTAGAGAGGATTTGATTGATGATTGGTTACAGGATGTTCATCATGAGCTGGCCTCGGTTAGAGGAGCATTGGAAAACCTTCCTGGGAGTACTGAACAGCTGTTTCCTCCGTCCTAGCTTTGGGACTGTTCATTAGTACGTACCTACCGCCTAGGGTTTGAACCCAGGACCTTCTGGTAGGCCATTAAGCCACTGGAACCTCGATCCAACCACATAGCGATTCATGGGCTGACCATTGGATCAGGGTCCCAGTGGTTCAACGGTCTACGAGCTAGCTTGCCTTGTAAACAGAAGGTCCTGGGTTCAAACCCAGTTAGGGTGGATGCGCACTGCCGAAGAGTCCCAAACCACGCTGACGAAACAGCTGTCCAGTACTCCCAAGAAGGTTTCCCAGTGTTTCTCTAACCGATTTCAGCTCATGATGTTATCCCGTAACCAAACAAACATATTCTCTTCAATATAAATATGCGATTGTTTTAATTAGTCTGTTGAAGGTAGGTAGGCAGGTAGTCACTGCTTTTCTAAAACTCACTTAACTCTATTTCAGCAGTATTCATCCATCAATGGTTCTCCATGATCAAATTTCAAACTAGTGAATGTGATGCTCGCTAGTGACTGGTTACATACAGGACGAAGTTTCCTGGAGTTCTAGTAGGAAATCGTAACCCCAGTAAGATTCTTCGCCGGGTTGGGATGACATTGACTGGTTGGTGGTCGTGCTAAAATCATGAGTTGGTAGAAGTTAGAATTCATGGGCTGGCGATTGAGTTAGGTCCAAGTGTTTGGTTGGATGGTCAACGAGTCTAACTTTTAACCTGAAGGTTCTGGGTTCGAACCCTGTCGGTAGGTGCGTACTTTGGATGAGTCAGAAACTAGGACGAAACAGGTATCTGTCCTCAGTTATCATCAATCCTTGATCAAACTTGAAACTTAATCATTTCTTGTGATTAGTAGTGGGATTGTAGTCTCCTGCCTTTTGCACTTAAAACTATCTGTAGTTGACATGGCGCTGGCTAGATAAGTAAAGGAAGTGACCTCTTTCAAATTACTCCAGTTGATAGTGCTTGGTGTTGGTGTTTACTTGAAGTCCTGCCTTTGGTGCTTCTCCTCCCAGCGTGTTGGTTTTGGACTGTAAGTCGTAAAGTTTCTTTAACACTAGACGTAGATCGTCCGCGAAGTTCAGATCTTCTAGAATCTTCTTATTGGTCCAACGTATTTCTGCCTTTTCGCTTCCTGTGCACAGACCTCCACATAATCTAGTCCATCACATTCAGGGATATCATTGGAGATAGTAGGCGGGCAGGCAGCCTTGTCTTCACTTCAAAGGCTTCTTCACTAAGTTTTTAGTGATGGATCACTTGACACGTATCGTTGTCATTGTGTTGTTGAATGGGATTAACACAGATTTGGAGCACGCTTTAGTTTCAAAGTAGCTTCCAAATTACTTCACAGCCAACTCTGTCTAAGACCTTTTCAAAGTCAATGAAACTGAACTAGAGATTTGACTGCCATTCTATGCTCGATTCAATGATGAAGGGTTGAGTTGTGATTTGATCAGCTCATGACTTGCCTTTCCTGAATCTAACTTGCTCTAGTTGAAGTTTTTCATGCAAAGTACCATTTAGTCTTGCCTGAATGACGCTACCTAATATTTTGCTTGGCATGGACATGAGCACTGTCCCACGCTAGTTCTTGCAGAGGCCTAAGTTTCCTTTATTTGATAGTTTGACAAGGTAGCCTTTCTTCCAATAAGTAGATAATTTTCCTTTCATCCTAACTTTTTGTAATAGTGGTGTGAGCATATATCCGTTATGGTCTTTGGATCTGTTTTCAGTGCTTCAGAAGGAATTCTGTCCGGTTCTGCTGCCTTCCTGGACTTCAGTAGCTTGATTGCACTCATTACCAGTATAAGGGGGGTAAATCTTAAATAACGTCTAGCACCGTCCTGTTATAAGTTGGGTTTCGTGACTTAATAGATCAGTTGATTTTCCACCGCCTTCTGAAGCTGAGTGGGGAGTATTATAAAAATGATTTTAGCTGACTTGGATGTCCAGTTCTCTTTATTCTAAAGCCAAAAAACTCAAACAAACTGCAATTACTCTAACAATATAAGATACCAGAACTAAATAACTTACCAATAAACCTTTTAAAATTGACGGCTACATTCTAGTAGACAGGAGCTGCCTAGACTATTTGGAAAGGTAAAGAAAACTGGGAGTGTCCTACCAACGTGAAATCATGTTATGAACCTTTCGCCAATAAATGTTATGTACTGCTGAGTAGTTAATTGTCCTGACGCGAAAAGGGAAAAGTCAGAAGACCACCACGTTCACAATGATACGTGTATTTTCCAACAAGGGAAATTGACTGTTACACAAGTGTGTGAGTGAAAGGGTACGCAGTGTACGAAAGGTGTGAACAAGTGTGTGTAAAAGTGCACAATACAAGAGTATATGTGAAAATGTCTAATATACATGAACCAATAAGACAGATAGTAGTTTTTCTTACCAACATTGGATTCTGATTGGTTGTAATTTCATGTGATAAAAAGGTCATGCATTGTTTATTTAGTTAATGGACAGACAAAGCATATTGTGAGTTATAATGGAATATCGATCAATATACACATTGCAAAATATAACAGACTGTCAAAAACAAAGTAGACATCATGTGACTACATATCACATCGTGCCAGTCTTCAAAGAGGCTTATGTAAGAAATTTACTAATCCAAGTATCGGTTTGTAGGTATGTGATTGATTGATTGATAACAAGATTTCATTATGAGCTGACATCGCTTAAAAACCATTAAAAACCAACGGGGGGAGTAAAAAATTCTCCCCCAATTTGGGCTTTCTCAATCCCCCCCGGGTTTTAAACCAGGACCTTTTGTTAAAGGGGAGCCCCCGTTTTTCATGTTTTTCTACGTTCCCTCATGAAAAATCTTTAACAAAAAAAAAACAAAAACAAATATTGCCCCTTTGGTTTTACGGGTTTTTAGGGGTGTTGTGACAGGGGGGCGCCGGTCGGTGTGAGAAAAATCCCCGCGAATGTACTCAAATTGCGATGGAAGATAAATTGCCGAGTTTCGGGTTATTAAAAGTCTAACAGGTTGGGAAACCCGGGGGGGGCAGACCAAGGGAAAACCAATACATTTAGCAATCATCGGGACACTAGTCTGTTATCACTACTTAAGCCGAAAATCCTGGCTTTTGCCTAATATCAAGCTGAGATTTGTTCAGTTTGTGGATTTATTGATCGGATGTTCACTTTCAGAGCAACAAACTATCTCTTGATATTAGTGCCGCCTTCGATTCACCGTTTAGGACTCCTCTTCGCAGTTGTCTGTTAGAGAGAGATAAACCTGTGAATTGTGTCAGCACTTCTAAAGCACATCTTAAAAACAAACTAGGTACAGTGAGGTTATCCAATTTCTTAACACGACTGCTGTCAACGAGTAGGGGAGTTCGATGTTGCTACTTCTCTTTCACCTTACTATCAGCGACATTCTGAAGGATCTCTATGGTAGGAGCATGAACCTACCAGTTGGTGAAGGACTACTTCACTTGCTCAATTAAACTATATTATCTTACCATACAATAATACACAAGCTACCCAAAATATATTTAATCACTTAGTGATTAGTGTCCATAATTACGATATGTGTTATGTGCCATTCAACTGCAAAGTATCGGCACCCCCACTCACTGACCCTCTCAGGTGATTTATTAGTTGTTGAAAAGTTCGCCTATGTAAGTATTTGTATCAGGGGTGATGAAGGTGTAATGTACAAAATTTCTAACCGCATGGTGAAAACCCAGGTATTATCCACTAACTCCGGCACCGTCGTGACTTTGGTGTGGCCGTCAAACGTCAGGTTTACAGATGCTTCATTGAGTTCGGTATATTGTTCTGTACCTATAAAACCTCATCTCTTTGAGCTGAGGATGTGCTTATACTCTGTAAGTTCGGTCATCAATGTTTATGCAGAATTGCTTGCATCCACTGACGTCATCCTGTAAATGATTCTGAGGCCTGAAAACACGAGTTTGAAGAAGTTGGAAACCTGCCACGCCATTCACTGTTTACTAGCCTCCTAACTAGTCGGAGGAAAGGGGGAACTAATAAGCCCATAATGTGGCGCAGTGAGATGACGGAAAGTTGGGTTAATGCCTGTAAGTACACCAGAAATGCATAGGTGAGATCTGAAAGATCATTCAACTCAGACGCTCGAGATGTAATTAGACTTGTACCCAGCTTCTGTTTCTACAGGTAATCTTCTAAGAGGAAAATATTTAGAATATAACTAGATCTTGCTGAAATATTCTCAATATAAGAAGAAATTCAGGTTCTGAATTTCTCTATCAGTTCTCATCAAGAAAATAGTCCGTCTCTTTTTTCTTGGTGATAGTTAATGGCCCATAGATTTGAATGTCTCACTTCACGTAACACGGTTTGACAGTTCTAATATTTGTCTGAATCGTGTAATGTAGTATTTGTGCAACACATTTCGAAAAATCCAATCACACACAGACTCGTTATAGGAATATGTATGAAATTTGTAAAAATTTTAAATCGAATGAATGAAGTTCAGAATAGTATATCACTAACTTCTGTAGAAGAGGAAGATAATTGTTTATCTTTCTTATATATATTACTTAGTCAACTGCTTGATGGATCAATAAAACGGTCTATTTATAGAAAAACTACCTGAACACGACAGTATCTTAATTACCACAGTTTCTGCCCTTTTCGGTACAAAAGAGTCTTAGTGAGGTGCCCCTTCAGTAGAATCCAACGAATATGCACTGAAGACACACTTGATGAAGAAGAAAGAAAGTTGACACGAACTCTGATTGATAACAATTATCCAGAAAAGTTCATCAGGAGATATAAAGCAATCAGAACACCAAGACCCACTCTACAACTCCCCCTAGGAAATACGTGTACATCAAGCTACCCTATATGGGGCATCATAGCAGCTTGATAACTAGACAAAGATTGAACGCTGCTATTAAAAAGACTTTTTATTCTGCTAATACAATAATAATTGAGATTGTGAAGCCAATATATCCATCCATCGAAGTCCTTTTAACATGCGAAAAATGATGTCAGATCCCGCTGTATTTAGCTATTTGAATGCACGTGTGGCCACGTGCACAGAGAGGAAGAGAGAGGACTCATCAATCTCTGCAAGTAAGGGCTAGCTTCAGAGCATACTCCTAAATGACTTCAAAAGTGAATGGAATCCAATGAACCCATTAATGGTGAGACCTAACTGTTTTATTACGAAACATATTACAGAGGATACATGACATGAAATCGATGTTTACACATCTTTTAAACCTATCTATAAAACGTGTTTGGGGTGTATCCTAAAGTTTGTGGAAACCCTATCTGGCAATTAGGAAGTTTAAACCACTTTCATGCCTTCTTCAAAAACAATTCGTCATCATCACAATTAACCTACCTTCTTTGATAAACTTGGTTTTGATACTACCTAGGGCAGATGTACTAATACCTCTTTTATTTGGTTCAGTGATATTCATGGTTATTTTGAACTTCAATATGCCCTTTTAACTTGACCTGAATTTATTTTCTCACCTCTTAACTCTTTAATTATTAGATAGAGGATTTCATCATGAGCTGACATCAGTTAGAGAACCATTGGAAAACCAGCTGGGGGTACTGGACAGCTAGTTATCTCGTCCTAGTTCGGGGCTCTTCATCAGTACGCACCCATCGCCAGGGCTCGAACCCATGACCTTCTGATTACAGGGCAAGCTAGCTCGTAGATCATTCAACCACTGAAACAGTATCCAATGGCAAACTTCTGCCAATTCATGACATAGCGGAACCACTTTGCAATGTTTTCTTCGATGAGTTACTGCCTCATCTTCAGCATGCTGGACCTTACTGGTCACAACTTCTCACTAGAACCGCATGTAACTACCTACCTGAATAGGGCCAGTCGCTAGTGAGCATCAGATTAATTTTCAAGTATTAGTTGTGTAGGAATTCGGTTTGATTCGTTGGAGGATTTCACCATGAGCTGATAGAGTTAGAGAACCACTGGAAAACTTAGGAGTACAGCAGCTTGAAGATGCGGCAGTAACTCATCGAAGAAAAAATTGCAAAGTGACCGCGCTATGTCGTGAATTGGCAGAAGTTCGACTTCATGGGTTGGCCATTGGATTGTGTTTCAGTGGCTCAACGGTCTAAGCGCTAGCTTGCCTTGCAACCAGAAGGTCCTGGGTTCGAGACCTGGTGGTGGTTGCGTACTGATGAAGAGTCCGGAACAGCTGTCCAGTACTCCAAGGAAGATTTTCCAGTGGTTCTCTAACTGATGTCAGCTCATGATGAAATTCTAATACTATCGTTAATCCCTCCTGTATAATAAGAACAGGTCGGCTTTTTTTTTAAGTTCATGCACCATTCACGTGGGGTTTTTTGAATAATAAGAAATTTAAGGTAGGTGATGCATTCAAGCATTATCTGATCACATGATGATGCGTATGTCTTATCGATCATTATCATTACTATTTAATAACATGATACACCATACATATATAAATGAGAAGATTTCAGATCGAGTCTGCCTAAAGATGGAGGATATTAATGAAGTACAAAATAACAGATTAGTTAAATTTCATGATAATTTATTATTAAAACATAATGACATGCACCATCAGGTGACTGAATTACAATACGCATTAAAATTGATTGGTGAGTTTTTTTTTAAAAAATTACTGTGATGTGATATTGTTTGTGAATAGGAACAAGGTTTTCAAATACCTATTTGTTGTACATATTTCCTAAACAGGGCATGCTTTGTTAATTCATTCATCCTATGATGTTAATGCTGGACAATCGTTTTCAACTTATATACATGTAACATTGAAAACATGTCACTCCCATAGGAAATTTTTAAGACAGTAGCAACTGTGAAAAATAACACTGTATAGTTAATTCTCTATATTTGAACAAGGCATTAAGAAGACAAATTTCGCGAGATGATATCATTTCGTAGTTTCTTTACAACCGCTTTACAACTAACATGGTTAACAATGATAAAATAAAGTTCATGAAAATTACTCAGTTAAATAAAAACAAAAGTACATACTAATGACCAATCATATTAAGATAGGTCATGCAGTCCAGGGTAGGCGAAGATTGAAGTCTATTGATTTTTGTACACACAGTTTAGGCTGTATGTGATTAATCCAAAGTGCTTCCATCACCTTCAATAACCTTGAATTAGAGTTATGTGAAATAATTGTGAAACAGTCATTAATATTTATTTTGTGACCAGACATTAATAAGTGTTTTGCAATGGATGATGCTGGATTTCTATTAAGATTAATCGCGTTAGGATTTTCGATATGATTTACTAGCCATTTTGGAATATGTTCTTTTCGACGACATTGGAACATTCTGTTAGTTCTACCTATATAGGTGTCACCGCAGCTGCAGGTGAACTTGTAGATACAGTTTGAAGTAGAGTCCACAGAATTTCGTCCTTTAATCGTAGGAACAGGGATCGAAAATGTTCGGCAAGTGAGAAAAAGAGATGCGGCGTAGAATGTGCGTTTGATGGCTGATCGAAGTCTTTGAGTTGTCAACTGCATAATCTGGTCGCCCTTGAATGGTAGATTAATAAAGATGGCTTTCTTTGGTACAGAAGCTGTCTTTTCGAGATGTGGTTTTTCTTTGCTGTGACAAGTGATAAAGCTCTCCGGATAACCATTAGCTAATAAAACTGAATGTACATGTCGAAGCTCATCCATCAGTGTGTCACTCGTGCATATTTTTCGGGCCCTTGAGAACAAACATTTCACTAGGGAACGTTTATACTGGATAGGAACAAAACTGGTAAAATGAAGATATTGTCCAGTCCATGTTTGTTTACGAAAAATAGAGCGCTGAATCGTTCCATCATTTCTCCTAATCATAGTAATATCCAGGAAACCGAGTTTGTTATTCGATTCTAGTTCGGAAGTCACTCGAATATTTGGATGAATATGATTAAATAGAGTAATGAAGTTTTCAATAGATTTACTATTATTACCAATAATAAGAGTATCATCTACATAACGTTTATACAGCATAAATCCTCCAAGCATACCTTGCATTTGTTTCTCTAATTTCGACATAAATATATCTGCTAACAGGGGCCCCAGAGGGCTCCCCATCGCAACACCATCGATTTGTTTATATGCCTTTTCTTGGAATGTGAATCTAATATTTTCTGTACACATTAAGATTATGTCTTTGATGTAAGTGACGGGAATGGGTAAGTTTATGCCGTTGCTTGTGATGTAATCGCAAATAAAATCAACAGTTTCATGAAGGGGAACATTGGTGAATAAAGATTCTATGTCAATTGAACACATAACCTTTTCCTTAATGTTCAAGGTGTCCAGCATTTCTGTAAGATCAAATGAACTTTTTACAGAATGATTTGATAATGAGTCTCTTACAGGCGTAAGGACCTCTGTAATCCATTTGGCGATTTTATGATAAGGAGAATTTGACATGTCTAAGATGGGTCTCAGTGGGTTCCCAGTTTTGTGGATCTTCGGAAGACCATAAAGCTGAGGAGTATGTGACCCAATTGGTTTAAGTTGTTTATAAAGTTTTTCATTTATAAAACCATGCATCAGTAAAATCTGAAGCTGACGATTGATCTGCTTTTCCACAAGCAGCACGTTATCAGTAGCATTGTCCAGCAGAAATTTGGACTGATCTTTGAGGATATCGTTCATTTTATTTTGATAATCCGATTTGTTCATAATGACAACGCCTTCTCCCTTATCAGGTTTAAGGATCACAAGATTATCTTTTTCGATTAATTCCTTAAGTGCGGCGTGGTGTTCTTTTGATAAACCATTTTTCTGGTGTATTCTAGCATTTAGAAATTGATGAGAAATGTCCACCAGTTTAACTTTAAACCAGTCCAGATTATCTCTACTAGAGGGAGTTAAATCAGAGATTTGGTCATACAGGTTTTCATACTGTGACTGGACTTCCATTTTGTTAATTTTCATGGGAATAGTTTTGTACTTCATTCCATAAGATAATGCTTCCAACTGTAGTTGGGATAGAGTGCATGTAGATAAATTAATTATATGTTTGTGGATATCTTGAGGAAATTCCAAAGTATGATTTGAGTCTTTCAAAGATTTTGTTAATTTTTCTTCGGTAGAACTTATGGTCTTTTTTACCATATCATTGCAAAATACTGTGAATTTAATTTGTGACCAGACATTAATAAAGTTCATTTGATCTTACAGAAATACTGGACACCTTGAACATTAAGGAAAAGGTTATGTGTTCAATTGACATAGAATCTTTATTCACCAATGTTCCCCTTCATGAAACTGTTGATTTTATTTGCGATTACATCACAAGCAACGGCATAAACTTACCCATTCCCGTCACTTACATCAAAGACATAATCTTAATGTGTACAGAAAATATTAGATTCACATTCCAAGAAAAGGCATATAAACAAATCGATGGTGTTGCGATGGGGAGCCCTCTGGGGCCCCTGTTAGCAGATATATTTATGTCGAAATTAGAGAAACAAATGCAAGGTATGCTTGGAGGATTTATGCTGTATAAACGTTATGTTGATGATACTCTTATTATTGGTAATAATAGTAAATCTATTGAAAACTTCATTACTCTATTTAATCATATTCATCCAAATATTCGAGTGACTTCCGAACTAGAATCGAATAACAAACTTGGTTTCCTGGATATTACTATGATTAGGAGAAATGATGGAACGATTCAGCGCTCTATTTTTCGTAAACAAACATGGACTGGACAATATCTTCATTTTACCAGTTTTGTTCCTATCCAGTATAAACGTTCCCTAGTGAAATGTTTGTTCTCAAGGGCCCGAAAAATATGCACGAGTGACACACTGATGGATGAGCTTCGACATGTACATTCAGTTTTATTAGCTAATGGTTATCCGGAGAGCTTTATCACTTGTCACAGCAAAGAAAAACCACATCTCGAAAAGACAGCTTCTGTACCAAAGAAAGCCATCTTTATTAATCTACCATTCAAGGGCGACCAGATTATGCAGTTGACAACTCAAAGACTTCGATCAGCCATCAAACGCACATTCTACGCCGCATCTCTTTTTCTCACTTGCCGAACATTTTCGATCCCTGTTCCTACGATTAAAGGACGAAATTCTGTGGACTCTACTTCAAACTGTATCTACAAGTTCACCTGCAGCTGCGGTGACACCTATATAGGTAGAACTAACAGAATGTTCCAATGTCGTCGAAAAGAACATATTCCAAAATGGCTAGTAAATCATATCGAAAATCCTAACGCGATTAATCTTAATAGAAATCCAGCATCATCCATTGCAAAACACTTATTAATGTCTGGTCACAAAATAAATATTAATGACTGTTTCACAATTATTTCACATAACTCTAATTCAAGGTTATTGAAGGTGATGGAAGCACTTTGGATTAATCACATACAGCCTAAACTGTGTGTACAAAAATCAATAGACTTCAATCTTCGCCTACCCTGGACTGCATGACCTATCTTAATATGATTGGTCATTAGTATGTACTTTTGTTTTTATTTAACTGAGTAATTTTCATGAACTTTATTTTATCATTGTTAACCATGTTAGTTGTAAAGCGGTTGTAAAGAAACTACGAAATGATATCATCTCGCGAAATTTGTCTTCTTAATGCCTTGTTCAAATTTATCAAAGGGACTAATTGTTTTAATTCTCTATAGTTGATTTGTAAGGGTTAGTTATGTTTTTACGAGTTGATCACGGATTGATATCAGTTAGAGAACCATTGAAAGCCAGCCACAGGGAGTACTGGACAGCTGCTGTTTCATTCTAGTCTGGGAATCATCGGCAGAACTCACCCACTGCCAGGGTTCGAACCCAGGACCCTTCGGTTACAAGGCAAGCTAGCTTGTATACCATTCAGCCACTAAGACCCGATTCAATGGCCAGTCCACGAATTCTAATTTCTACCGATTCGTGATTTAGGACGCGACTAGCACCAACCAATGTCATCAGTGGGACATAGATTCTCACACGTGACATCTGGTTAGACCTCACTGGTCACGACTTCTCACTAGAATATATATATGGTGAAAGCTGTCTGCTAGCAAAAATTGCAGACAACTATTTACGTCAATGTTCACGTCCCGAATAGGGGTCATGAGGAAAACACCAATAACAAAGCGTAATCTTGAGAAAATCATCAAACACTCACAGAAGACTTAACGTGTGCAAATACGAATCGCAGGTATATGGCCTGACTTTCTAGGAAACGGCAACAAAGAGATGACAGAATAGCCTTCAGCAAGAAAACAACCAATCAGAAAAGGTTGCTTCTCTGCTAACAATAACGTTAATGATAATGTAGATAAAAATCTACAAATATCTGTTGATTTTCTCAATAAAGTATCTGCTGCCTTGCCCTTGTCTTCTGTCGTTATATATATATATATATATATATATATATATATTTAAAAAATTTCGATTTAACTTCATAAAGGTGATCGCTTTTTCAACATTCATAAATATCCACCTTGAATGTAGATTGATTTGCTAACGTCTTCAATAATCATGGTGGATTGACTTTTTCCTGTCTTATTTAACTGTCACAATGCTTTTGAAGAATTTCTTACCTTATGTATAAACGTATAACAATATTGCATTCGAATCCTTTATTCATCCGGAATTAAAGTATCACTGTACATGCCTATTCGGAGATATAAATGCTACAAATACCATAAAATAATGCTATTGATTCCCATTGCAAAGTAATATTCATTATTATCAGCATTCCTCAACTGATAGCTGATACCTTGACGTGGAGATCGAACCTGTATATCACCATGAGCCAATGAGATACTTTAATTGGTACGAGTGTTCTTACACGTGGCATAAAGATCATTTGGATAACGATTAGACAAAATAAAACACCCAGTTAACATCATAGTATGAATCCCTTAAACTATGTCAGAAGCCTGAGAGTGAAGTGGTACTTCTGACGAATGGAGATGTAACAGAAGAAAGGGTAATTCCCTTAGACAACCTAGCAAGTCAGTTACGCTTCATCTTTTCTCTTATGAAAGGTGAAGAGAGGGTTAAGAAATTGTATATCCCTTTGAAGAAGTTCGTAGCTGACAGTAAGTTCTTCTTCAAACCGACAAAACTTGGAGAACTATTGGCGTCAGTCAGTCAGTCAGTCAGTATTTCAATAAAACTTTGTATTGATTTAAAATATGAAATAAATTAAGTGGTACTTGTTTCAATCAATTGATAGATGGTGAAAAACGCATGTTCAATGATACCACGAATCGGCATCTTAAAAATCTACACAGGCGGATTCGATATTTGAGAAATATTAACCAAGAGTTACGAAAAAGATTAGCTAATCAGTCACAAGTAGGTTAAAAACAAAACTTATTTTTTATTTTTATTATTCTCTATAAGAAGGTTAACATACTGCTGATGTAAGAACAGAACTTGGGCATTGTGGTAGAGTATAATTCTAATATGCAGAAAATTTATTTTGGCAAAGTCTTATTCATAGTGTAACGGTAGAAGATGAGGGAGTTGGTAAAGGAATGTTTGTATGGAATTCGGCACCTCTCTATAGTCAAATTATGTACACCAATATCTTCAACGCACCATTTGCACAGATCATCTTCCGTGTTGTGCTACTTCTCGCCTTCCTTCATGTGTGTATGTGTGTGTGTGTTTCTTTGTGTTCCTTTCACGTCCCCCATGTATCTCCACAACGCTGTATCATTTGTTTTCTCCGATATCAAATCTACCACTCTGTTATTTGATGTTTTTATGCTGATGAACATCTTTACACATAATATATTACTGATAAACCTTATCAGTAGCACTCGCCATAATAGGATAAAGCTACCTATTGAGGAAATTATTTTAGGAATTCAATTATGCTTCACAACATCTATCTTTCAATTCTAGGGCAAAATATATAGACAAACAGAAAGTGTAGAAATGGGATCACCGATATCCCCTATTTTAGCAGATATCCTTATGGACAGCTGGGGAAATACTGTTCTGAATACATTTAATCCTACTCCGAAGATAATATGGTGGAGATATGTGGATGACACTTTCACGCAGTGTTAAAAACACAACATATGTCTAGCTTCTTGACACACATAAACTCACTAGTGGAGGGAATAAAGTTCACATTTGAATCGGAAAATGAACAAGGAGAATTAGCTATGATGTTAGATTGTAAAATAGAACGAACAGAAGAAGGTAAACTGCACTGCACACTAGCGTTCATAAAAAGACTAACGCATTTTAATAGGTATTTAGACTTCAATTCATCTCATCCGTTCTTTGTCTGTAAAGGCTGACTTAGTTAAGTGTCTAACAAACCCGAGCAATAACGACGCTAAGTAGTACAACAAAAAACTTAAATGGTGTTAAATAACTATCCTATAAAATTCATTGGAAATATCAAAAAAGTAAAAAGTAAAATAAAAATAATTGGGAAACTAATAATTATGACATAAATAAGAGAGAATATAAGTCATCTACAGTAGTTTTGCCATACAAAGAGGGCACATTTGAGACCCTACTTAGCAGGATTCTTAATAAAGCAGGAATTAGGGTGGCATTCGAACCTACAAACTCACTCAGTCAGGGACAAGCTCTGTAGGTTGACCCAATTTGACAATATAATATACTTTACAAAATACCCTGCAATGACTGTGAGTTAGGTCAACTACATAAGTCAAACTAGTAGGTTGGGGGTAGTCAGATTGTCGGAACATAAGAATTTAGATTAGGTTGGAATGGTTGACCCCGCGAAGATAAGTAGTTTAGAGAAAACTTCAGCACTGTAATGCACTGCATGCATTAACAAACAATCACACAATAGGGAATGAACTAATATAGGTAGATGGAAAGAGAGATTGATTACTGTATCCTTGTTCATCGAGTCTACACCCAACACATGCCATAGGAATGGCTCATCACTCAAACGGGAAATATGGAAAATACTACTATTAATCAAATCAAGAGATGGAAGCAATGGAATTATATGAACGAAGTGGGAAAGTTGTGTGAGTACCTTGATGTGATTATGAGCAGCAATAAATTATGCTTGAAAGGTGATCATCAGTAAATATTACTGTATATCACTGTGAGACTTTATGAAAATAAATTTTATCCGTAATGAAATAAAATGATACTGATGTGACATTTTCTGATCTCTTAACTTGTACTACGAGAATTCTATTCAATATAACAGACACAAATGGATTTGTTATCTCAGGTATAAAAGCCAGAAGTGGACAACATGGTTTTTAATTGGTATTCTGATCTTATAGAACTTTCCATCAGTTTATTTCAGTTTGTCTGCTGTGTGAGTGAATTCTAACATTAATTAACCGTTTTTATTTTGTGTGTGTGTGTGTTCAAAGACTAGGTGACAGCAGCATAACTGTTCACTTCAGTAACCAATCAATTAAGAGATACACAGATCGCAAATCTCTCTGATTGGCTAAAATGGGAAGAGGATTTTTGTTTGCCTACAAAATTCCATCACTCTTGTCACCAATCATTTTTAGAGCTTTTAAACCATGGTTGGCTCTTATTGGTTGGTGTATATTTTTATGATCATAGAGGATAATAATAAAAAACAGTTGCAGTGAAGAAAATTAAAACAATTAGTCCCTTAGATAAATTTGAATAAGGCATTAAGAAGACAAATTTCGCGAGATGATAACATTTGGTCGTTTCTTTACAACCGTGTACAAAAATCAATAGACTTCAATCTTCGCCTACCGTGGACTACATGACCTATCTAAATGTGATTGGTCATTAGTATGTACTTTTGTTTTTATTCAACTGAGTAATTTTCATGAACTTATTTTATCATTGTTAACCATGTTAGCAGTGAAGAAAATTTTATTTTCGACGAAGTCATTAGCTAGATAGCTGGATATTCGCGTATTTATAATAAATGTGTGGAAAAGTTGCAGAATAATTTCCGGTTAAGGAGTAAATCAGTAAGATTACAATTAGGAATTAAAATGCCACAATAAACAGGGGGAATAGATAGAATTCAAACAAAGTCGCATCATTACTGACTCCGATTCCATATTGTTCTAATGAATTCAATTAATCTATGACACTACAAGTCTTCTTTATTTAGTATGAATACAAGCAGACATTGTAATATATTAGATACTGATCCTTCATGTTATCCCGACGGCAAGAATTTCTCATTTAGTCCAGCCATCATTATTTACTTCTTATCCAAACTCCGTGAATCAAAGAGTTGACCGTCTAGATAATCCGCATAGTATATAGATTTACAGAAAGACACGATGTAGCAACTACGTTTGTTGACAAGAAATCTTTATGGTACTGTTACACTGTGAAAATAACTTTAATGAATAGCTGTATTTTGCTAAAAAATAAACTATCAGAGTAAGAGTTTTGTTGAAGAATTCTCTTTCGCATAATGTTCAATATCTTTTCGTACGTAGTGGAAGATATCTTTATGGATTCCTAGATTTTCAAGACATTCTTATTCATGAAGAAAATAAAAGACGGATTCAGCGAAGAAAATTTTCTTTATCGACGAAATCATCTTCAGAGGCTGTACAGTCGTATTTATACTTAGAAGAATGTATAGTGGTCTATTATTGAATAATAGGGGGTGATATAATTGCTGTAATTAATCATAAGTGGCTTTAGAGGTGAAAATTAAAAGTTGTAAATTACATGGTACTTGACGGAACAAAGATAGAAGTTAGAAAAGGTTAAAATTGCTCTTGAGTGAGAATAAAGTTATTAGAGTGTCAATTTGACAAGTGTGAAGAAGGTGTGAAAATATATGAAATTGATAATAGTGAATTAGTTATTAAAGCAAAAGCAAACTAAAAGTAAAATTAAAGATTAAGAACAAAATCAAAAATATTTTTTTAACAGGGAAGGATAAGTGAAGAGGTTAAGACCAAGGTAGAATAAGAGACTGGACAAACTTTTTCTGTATACAGAGACCAGGGTTGTATTGATGTATTGCCAGCGCCTCCGCCATACACAAAAGCCGGAACCTGACGCCTTTTGTACAATTTGGCTTCACTTTGTAGATGATGTTGAAAGACGACTCTGGTGGAGCTACGTGGCCTGAGTTCACCAAATGCTCGAGAATTGAGCTAGTAATTGTCTTGTATTGTCCCTTTGCTAACCATGCCGGATAATGTTCAGAGATGCGTTTGGAAAGCGTGCGCTTTGTGCGGCCAATATAACTTGCTCCACACGAGCATGTGAATTTATAAACACACATTGAGGTGGCCCAAAGCGGCAGCTTATCCTTTACACATCCGTTGATCATTCGTCGGCTGTAGAAATTGATACGTAGCTCAGCCATAAAGAAGGCTTTCCTCAGTGATCTGCGTAAGCGATTCTTCAAGATCTCAGCTGCAGTATCACCTTTAAATTCAACACTCATAAAGAGCAGTTTCTTCGGCACAGTCTGAATTCTTTCGGACTTTTCTCTTAGCTTCATGTTTTTCTCGATGAATCTTGGAGGATATCCATTCTCTAAGAGAACTTGTCTGAGTCGCTCCAATTCCCCATCGATTGTATCACTTGAACATATCCTCCTTATTCTTGAGGATAGGGAATGGATCAAATTTCTTTTTCTTCTTAAAGGGACCCAGCTATGGAAATTTGTGTACTGACCATTCCATGTTGGTTTCCTGTAGATCGATCTTTGAAGAGAGCCATCAGATCTCCTCTTTAGAAAAACATCCAAAAAGTGGAATTCCGAGTTAATCTCTGATTCCGACGTGAATTTGATGGCATGATGACAGCTGTTGAACTCATTAGTTATCAATTCGACGTCAGTATTGTCGTCACATATGATGAAGGTATCATCCATGTATCTTAGGTACAGATGGAAACATTCTTATTCTTGATATCCTTTGGTCTACCATTGAGACAGCAGTCTAGAAAATTGCCTGTTCGCCTATCTTAGAAGACTTACAAAACAAAGGATCTTTGAGTAGAAATCTTATGATGCCCATGAGGAACTTTGCACCTCATAAAAGTACGCTTATGCCCTAGAAAGAAATTTCCCTTGATGTAAGCTTTAAGAAAACAGAATGAAGTGAGGAAATTCATTAGCCTGGTTCTATGCCCCTGGTTTGAACTTTGCTGTCAAGAAGAGATCTGCTTATTATTATTATATCCTTTAATTCCTAGAGGAACATAGGGCTTTAGCTGCGCGTCTCCATTGCTTTCGGTTTTCTGCCAACTTTTTCACCCCGCTACAAGTCTGCCCACATGCTTTCATCTCCTCTTCACATGACCTCCTCCAAGTCACCTCACTCTTGCACTGATGACCAACTCGCCGCCCGCTTCCCTTTCGGGTTCCACTC